AATATATATATATATATATATATATATATATATATATTAGTATAGTTATAGTTCATATAGTATAGTTATAGTTCGGTTAATATAGTATTTAGGGGGCCTTGAAGTAAAAAAAGTTCAGAAGTGCTGGGTCTAGAAAGATTTCTGATCTCATGTGAACTAGTTTAAGATGCTTTAACATCATGAAAACTGTATGAAAGTGTGAGCCTGACAAGTGCACCGTAATTCTCCTTCAGCACTGATGTTTCCATGACCACGTCCATCTGTGAACCATTTGCGTCTGGTATATCGCGTGCAGTGTCTTTAGAGCGGGAAGTGCTAAGATCCTCCTTACCACATTCAGAGGCATTCGCTCTCGCACCCTCCAAAACAAATCAAACGTTTCCACCGCTACTCTAATATGGGATAACCAGAACTAATCTTTCACATACCCTGCTTCCAGCCATTGCACAAATAGTGATTTCTGTTGTCTAATTAAGCAGTTAATTAGCTTGGGTGTCTTGAGTCCTACACCCTGAGGTACGCTTGTGGTTTTAAGGATGGAAGTCCCGTTTTGATTGAGTGCTGCTGCTGTGTTGGTCATTACAACTAGCAGCGGTGGATTTGAATTACTCGAGCAGCTTGAGGAAACCGAGAAGAGATTGAAGGCAGGTAAAATGGGGGGATGCCATTACCTTGCAGGGCAGGTCCTCAGTTTCATCAACCTGGCGAGCGGGGTGGATGGTTCATAATGTTCCTTCCCACCGAGTGAACCCATATTAAGCACCAGGGTAGAGTGTGCTAAAGCTGTCTCGTTTATCCATCTCTTCTTCGCTTTCAAGCCTTCTAACCGATCCCTTGATGCCATGTTGGTTGCTGTCACCTCATGGGAAGCGCAAATAAACATTCTGACTGGGATAAGAAGGTCAGATACATTATAAATGGATTTAAGGGCATAGTTTAATTTACAAATTGGCTTGAAAGTTCCCTCACTGAATTTTGGCCCACAGTGTTGATGTTTTTCCCAGCAATATGGGGTGTCACGAAAACATGCTTTGGCCAAAAATCCACAGGGATCTGCAGAAATATTGCAAACCTCTTGAACATTGTTTGCGAACCTTTTAACCACAACCATGAATCAGGGTTGTTGTTGCTTTGTCCCCCATCTGTGTGGTCAATGCAGTTTCGTGCGAATGACTTTCTTCTAGACCTGGTCATATCAGGTCACATCCTCCTCCAGACTTGGATATCCCGATCCAAAACCTTCTGACACAGTCTGTCTAGCATGTGGGTCTTCTGGTATGCAAGAGGTGTCCCATTCTTTGCCTGTGCTATTTTCTGCCAGGCCCCAGAGAAAAGGAACAAACTGAAAATGAATGGCAGGGCTCTTTCTTCCTCTCGGGGCAAAAACAGATGAGAGAGAAAGAGAAACAAGGCCAGAGAAGTCCATGGTGGTGTGGTCAGCCTGGGCTGGCTGGCTGCCTGTCTGGGTCTAAGGACTCCTCTATTCCCCGCTGGTCTCTGGCTCAGAAGCTCAGTTGTATTCAGCAGCTAAACCACACTTGCTCCGGCCCAGACTCGACTCACATCAGTGATCCACATTCAACCTCTGGGAAATCAATTGTCTCAGTGCTTATGCTCATATGCCATGGATTTAACTCACAGTGTGCACATACTGCATTAACACAAAGCATTCACTTATCATTCTATGCACATTTGATTCAAACCAAAATAGTATTTATATTTTAAGAGTGAGTAAATGTACTTTGTTTACCTAGTCAATGTGGACATCATATTAAATTTTATGCAAGTAAAAAGAAGAAGGGAAGTAAACTTTTGTTTGTTTCAGAAATCACCTCTACTTTAAGCTCTGCCTTAAAAACGTTACTGACAAATTAGCAACTGTTGTCAGTCGCCATTTTCTCAAATGTTTTTTTTTATGTAAATCTATAGACAGTATTTGTGTTTGGATAGTTTTAAAGGCAAGTTTACAAAAATTATCCAGTAATACTGCTATAGTGTTGCAGAGTCAGTTATAAGGTATTTGAGTTAGCAACAGTAATTGAGGCAGAGCTTAGTGGAACGTCAATTTAAGGGATAGTTTACTCAAAAAGGGAAATTCTGTCATTAATTACTCAACCTCATGTCGTTCCAAACCTGTAAGATCTTCGTTCATCTTAGGAACACAAATTAAGTTATTTTTGATGAAATCTGAGAGCTTTCTGACCCAGACAGCAGTGCAACTACTACGTTCAACGCTCAGAAACGTAGTAAGGACATTGATAAAAGTCCATGTGACATCAATAGTTCAACCTTAATTTTATGAAGCTATGAGAATACTTTTTGTGCAGAAAAAAAGGACTTTATTCAACAGTTTCCATTACTCCAGTCTCCAGTATCACATGATCCCTCAGGAATCATTCTAATATGTTGATTTAGTCATATGTTGATTATCAATGTTGAAAACAGCTGTGCTGCCTAATATTTTTCTGGATATATGTTTTTCAGGATTCTTTGATAAATAGAGAGTTCAAAAGTGCAGCATTTATTTGAAATAGAAATCTTTTGTAGCATTTAAAATCTTTTACTTTCACCTTTGTTCAATTTAATGCATTCTCACAGAATAAAGAAAAAACAAGCTTTTGAATGGTACTCTACGTTATTGCTAAGTGACTTTCACAATGGAAAAAAGAATGCAATTTTTCCTTCCAGAAACCTATTTTTAAACCCCATTGGATAAAGATAAATATAGGAAAAAACATTATTGTTTGAGATTAAACCCCAATAAAGGGGGCAAATCTGTCATACGACAACATAATTCACAACAATGTAAGAGACCGCATTCTTGCAAAGCTTAAATCATTGTTAAGCGTGCCTCCAGGCCCTTGCCTCCTCCTTAACTGGTGTGAACACAAATACACTGGTGTTAAGAGAGTCTGCCGTAGCACGTCTGGCACGATGGGATCACTTCCTTCTGTAGACTGGGCACCCACTGTCAGCTCGACCCCGAATAATTAACCTCTGCCACTGGGGTTCAACAAGAAAACAATCCCACAGAGCTCTGTGTGTATGCTAGCGTGACTGTGTGTGCCCCGTCTACAGGTGCCTGTGAGGGTGTTAAGTGTCATCCTTCTCGTCAGCTGCAGGCATCGGGCAGGGTAATGGAGAAGGCTAAGAACACATGCCCAGTGCTTCGGACGACGTAGCAGGTGGCTGAAAGCGGGTCGCGCAAGGCTGGGTCTTTGACTGAGGTGACTAGGTTAATTAAGGGGTGAGTCTTCAGGGCCTGGGGGGCCCCAGGGCAGGCGGTTGGGGGGTTTTGGGGAAGGGTTGATCGAGCGCAGAAAGAGGCCATGCCACTCACCCGCTCTGCTTCCTGTGGGGTATCTGTGCCTCTCTTCACGAGCGGACCTCTGGATTCATAAACTCGCATAAACTCATGCACACGTGTAGCACATATGTTCTTTGGGACCTGAAGGAAGTGTTTTTTAACTGAGTGTGTTGTTTCTCTAGAGCTCACGGTTGTGAAAATGCAGCTGTGCAAATCCACATCGAACCGAAAAAACAACAGGCCGTGTTGATCCAAAACAAAGCATTGAGTTAAGCGCGTCTGATTGTAAAATGAGTCTGGATGTCAGGTACAGAAGATCTGTAAGCTATTATTATGGAAGAGTCTGGGTCTCAGGGTGGGTCACAGGGAGGCAGTGAAGTTTGGCAGGTATCATAAAACAGAAATTGAACGTGACCTTTTGTGTGTTCAAAAGATGAAGAGGAGGATGAAGAGTTCACAGAAACGAAAGCTGGATACAAGGATACAAAGGAAGGTAAGAGCTAATTCTTACAAAACCTGCCTTTGAGAATATTCAGATGAATATTCAGGGAAATGATAGAAAGACAGAAATGATACTTACATAAGCAAAATGGTTTTTAATAATAATGATAATAATAATAATAATATTTATTTATTTATTATGTTTTTTTATATCATTTTAAATTATTCATATTAATAAAACCATTACAAGTATTACTACTTTATATTATTATATTTTTTCTTTTCTTTTCTTATATTTTATTATTAGAACATTTTATTATTAGTTTTTATGCCATAATGCTGCAACATTCCCTAACTATCAAATATTATATTGTATTATATTATTTTATAGTATAGTATATCATGGTATAGTATAGAATAGTACAGTACAGTATAGTATAAATATAGTATATTATATTATCAGAAAGCACTGTATTTTATGTTCTAATGCTATAACATGGCACAGCTAGAGCTATATATTATATTGTTTAAAAAGATACTAAATTAGGTCTTTTTTATTTTATTATAGTGTTAAAATTAGTCTGTTGTATTTAAACGGATTGTTATAAAAACTATGACATATCCCAATTTAGATAGCAAGATGTGTGTGTGAAGGTGTTCCAAAGGTTGTGCTCTGTTAAAAAACATATTCTCTACACCTACTGCCTCCACCTGGCTCAAATTTAGCACGTTTGACTTCTGTATGTTGGATGTTACACGGAACAACATCTGCTTAGTTCAGACTCAACAAGAGAGACGTCTCTTTACAGTAAAGCCTGACGTTGAGGTGCATGTTCTGCACACATGTTCCATAAGTACTAATAGAAACCATAACAGATCTGTAAATAAATTACCCACACTGACTAAAATGGCATTCAATCAAGCTGTTCCACAAGGGCAATCCCTTCTGTGTTGGCATAGCTGGGATTTTATTGTCGCCTTCTTTTGAAGTTTCAAAGTGAAATACATCCCGTTAGTGGTTAATAAGCCATGGGTGGAGTGACATGACATTGAGGGGTTTATTAACATGACGTAGCACCTCTAATAATTTGCTGTGTGATTTACAGCTTGTGCTGTTATGCAAGTCATTCGACGTAAAACCTTCCGCCAGTGAAGTAATGTGTCTATATTACAGTACAGTCAGCATTTAAAACTATGATGCAAACATTTCCGCTACTGTACAAGTCACATTTTTCCTACCTGTGCTGCTTTAGTAGTTTGTGTTTGGGCCTCGCACACGTCAAAATTCCCAAAGTCACCAAACAGGATCAACAGAGCGTTGAGTGGCTACTCGCGTGTGACCCTTCCAGCCGTATCAGATGGCATTCTCGCCGGTCGGGGGCTGGGCTTATCGGGCCACGGCATTCTGGGTCAGGCCTGATCAAACTTTAATGTCACTAGACCCCAGCAAGTGGACTTCAAAGCGAGCGGAGAGTGCATTCTTTGTGCAAGTGTACAGGGTAAATAACTAGAGAGAGGCCGGACAGAGGCAGACTGTGAAAGCACACGAGGGCTTTGACTCCACGCTGACTTTGATCATGCTTTTGTCTTCCTTATGAGTCATCAAAAAAGGAACGCAAATCAAGTGGGCTCAGATCAAAGGGACGGGCCCCTAATAGTCTGGGAGAAAATGGAGAAACGCAATAACATCAAAAACGGAGGAGAAAAACTGGGCTTGCTGTCATTATGGAGAAACAAACTAAGAGAGGTGTGTGTGGTGTGTTCGCTAATGTATTTGCTTATTCATTTATTGTTTGTTTGTTTGTCATTTTTACGCCCATATCTCCCTTCTAATTGGCTTAACTACCTTCAAGGCTTGTTGGGAGTCAGGAAAAAGAATGCGGGCGAGTTTGTTTAGGTTCAGTTTGTACAGCTACTGTTCAGCGTTATGCCGTATGGCCATGATTTTGTCTGTGGTTAAATCCGTTTGTTAGTGTTATTGTATGTAAGTGGTAGGTATAAACACAGCCCATCTTTGCGGCCAAGATGCTTTTGTGTGTTTGTGTATTAAAACGTATGGCCTGTTCTGTGTTTATTTACTCGGCAGCTGTGTTTACGTCTTCATTTTGTTGTGTTTTGTCTTGTGTGTGTATCAGGCCACCCGCGGGAGCTGACAGAGGAAGAGAAACAGCAGGTTTTGCACTCGGAGGAGTTCCTCATCTTCTTCGACCGCAGTATTCGTATGATAGAAAGAGCTTTAGCTGAGGACTCCAACATCTTCTTCGATTACAGCGGACGTGACCTGGAGGATAAAGAGGGGTGAGAAAGTGATGCGTAACACAGATGATTTCTAAGTTATATATGAAGTATTTTATCTATTTATTATTTAGTTTATTTTTATATTTTATTTCAATATTAAAGTGATAGTTAACACAAACATGAAAAGTTGTCATCATTTACTCACAATCATGTTGTTCCAAACCTGTATAAGTTTCTTTCTTATGTTGAACATTAAAGAAGATATTTTGAAGAATGCTGGTAATCGAACAGTTGAAGGTCCCCATTGACTTCTATAGTATTTCTTTCCCTAACTATGGAAGTTAATGGTTTGGCTCTTCAAAATAACTTAATATTTGTTCAACATAATAAAGAAACCTATACAGGTTTGGAACGACATGAGGGTGAGTAAATGATGACAAAATTAAAAAAATTCAAAAGTCATACATTATAAATGGTTAATTACTAATGGTTATGTTATTGTGAAATGAAATTTATGTGAAAAGGTGGACCACAATGACATCCATGGTAATTAATCTACATGAAATGAAACCCAAAACACAATATAAACTGCTTAAATCATCTGGATTTCATTTGCATATTATGTAAATTTAATATTTACATAATATCATTTTCAAGCAATGGATGTATAGGTTGCTCCAGTGTTTTATGCTCTGTCATAAAAGCCTGTTAAAATTATAAAATTTTTAAAAATAAATTTATAGTGAATTTTCAACAAATATTTTGCAGTACCCAGTAATGTAAATGTAACAAAAATAAGAAGGGGTCAATGTTAGTCTGTAGTATTTATAATTAGGCTGATATAAAAACAATAGAAGACTATAGTATGCTCTTAACAAGCTAAGTGTGTGTGTGTGTGTGTGTGTGTGTGTGTGTGTGTGTGTGTGCGCGCGCGCCCGCGCGTGTGTGCATTGTTCTTTCTATCTATCGATCGTGTCTGACTGACTGTCTGACTGTCTGTCTGTCTGTCTGTCTGACTGACTGTCTGTCTGTCTGACTGACTGACTGTCTGTCTGTCTGTCTATTATCTGCTTTAATTTTCTGTTGTATATGTAAAGTGTGTATTAAAACCCCAGAGCCAATGTTAATAAGAGTATCTCCCTGTTAGAGATCTGCAGGGTGGCTCCAGTCTCTCTTTCAATCGTCTGTTCTATGATGAGCACTGGTCACATCATCGGGTCATCACCTGTCTGGACTGGTCCCCTCAGGTAGACTGACCTCCCTCTCTGACCTCCTGTATGTGTCAGCACCTGTTAATTTAAAAGGGAGAATCCTCCCATTCTTTGTCTCTGAGTCAGCTTTATCATCCTCTTCTCTGTTCTCTCTCATCTTTCTCCTGCCTTTACTCTCTTCTCTTCATATTTCCAGTACCCTGAGCTCTTGGTGGCCTCCTACAACAATAATGAAGACGCTCCTCGTGAGCCAGACGGTGTGGCTTTGGTGTGGAATATGAAATTCAAGAAGACCACACAATGTGTACATCTACCACTGCCAGGTGAAAACCCTTAACACAAAACAACTTTACACCCTTACCCTCCAAAAATAACTTCACACTGATTATTAAGGGAGTGAAAATTGTGCAGGAAAATGTTAAATTGTGTGAAAATGTGATCATTTACTCACCCACATGTCATTCTCAACCTGTATGAGTTTTAACTCTGCAGAACTTGAAAGAACATATTTAGAAGAATGTTGGTAACCAAAGAGTTGCTGGCAGCCATTGACTTCCATAGTATTTTTTTCTCAATGTCCAGCTACGGCTACCAGTTTGGTTACCAGCATTCTTCAAAATACCTTTGTGTTCAACAGAAGAAAGAAGCTCACACAGGTTTGTAACTTAAAGGTAAGTAAATTATGACAGAATTTTCATTTTTGGGTGACCTATCCCTTTAAGACATTGTAAACAAATTTGGGTTTAACTATTTATTTTAGTTTTTAAAGTTTTAACTTTTCGCTGAGTTAAAAATACATTTATTACGTTTATTGTTACAAACTGAATGCTATATTGCATATTATTTAAAAAAGTGTAGGCAGCATGTAGTACTTACAATGCAGTAAGCATCTCACTAGTATCCTATTCCAAAAATACCAGTAGGATTCCAAGCACTTCACAATAAAATTATAATAAAACGATCTAATTGGAAAGCCATGATAAAGGAAGTGGTAGCTTCAATAAAAGGGAGATCTAATGGAGCGTACCACTTCAGATGACGAAATGCATTTAAATGAGCCTAAGGTGATTTAATTAAAGGTACATGCTGGCCTTGGAATACCGCAGCGGAACAGAACACCTTATTACGGTGTGTGTCCGCTTGGGTCAGGCCAAAATAATCCTGAGGCTTGTGTGTAAAACATATCTGGTGTCGGTTTTGACGCTAATTATAAAAGACTCTGGGTTGAGAGTCTTTTCAGGGAGACGACCAAGTAAGCGAATCTGGGAGGCGACAGCCTGGTGCGAGGGAGAGATATTAGAGAGACATTTCTGTAATAAAAAGATGTGGCTCACCACTTCCTAATCCTACCAGCCGCATATGTTTGCCCACCCACATGGTCTGCTCGTGCATGTGCTGCTTTTCCAGTGCCCAGCACCTCTCACATGCACACAGACGGATACACATACACATGCTCGTTTACACACACAGTTATAACCAAAGCATACTCAGACATGCCATATTGCACATGCTTAAAAACATCAGACTTTCGTATTACACAACTCTTTTAATTGCATTTTTTATCTTTTTTTGATTAAAACTAATTTTTAATTCTATCAATTCAAACATAATTTTGAGGACGTCTTACAGACTGCAAACGTTTATGGCCACTGGTTTAAAAATTGTTTGTAAAATTTCTGTTTCAGTTCTGTTTCATGGTTTCATATTAAGAACATTTTTCTTGGTAGGTAATTTTTTTTATTTGGCTCTTTATTTTTCAATTTAAAAAAAAAAAAATGTCCGCTAAAAGCTTGCTTAATCTGCAGGAAATATTGATTATGAAATATTAATTGAACCTCAGGAGGTCAAACTATGTATTAGTGTGTTTTTTTTCTGTTCATTTTAAATGAGGTTTACAAGCCTGTTAACAGAATATGGGAAATGTCTAATGGCAGTTTAAAATCCTGAAATATGTGATTTTTATTTATTTTTATTTTTCACTTTTTTATATATTTTTTTAGAAAATTAAAACATTAAATAAACATTAAAGTTAACGACCCTGCAAATTTAGCCTAAATTAGGCTGTTGCTGAGTAAGGGATAAAGGGGTAGTTTGGGACCAAATGCCTGTTTGTAGTTGTTACATTTATTTCTAATAAATTAAAGACACATCAGTATTTCTTGCAATGAATTTGGGTTACAGTATTTAATGGTCAGCACTACAATTTGTGTAAAAATCTAAAAGAAAAAAGGAAGTAGGTTATTATACATTTGTCTTCCCAGGATGCTGTAGAAAGGGTCCAAATTATGTTATTTCTTGGGAGTCACAATGTAACTGTACATGGTGTAGCAGGAATTTAATGTAACACTTGCTACTTTTCATCCTAGACCAATTTTATCTAGTTTATATATAATAGTTTTCACAACAAATAAGACACTAAAATAAACTGTATTTTATAGAAAGTGCCTTGTATTTTTGATTGTGTTGTCACACAGGAGCATAAATGAAGACTCCCTTTGACCTGCCTCACTCTGTCCTTTTCTTCTCTACAGCTCAGTGCTACAAAAAGATGGGATGTATTGAAAGCATATATACAATAAAAACGCAAGATGAATAACACACAATGGCATTTCACAGCTTTCCTTCAGAGTGGCCTGAGGTTCAACCATCCTTTTTTCATCACGAGGAGAGAAATGGTGAGAGAAGCACAGGATCTCCAAACATTTGGCCGTTGGCTGAGGATGAAAGAGGTTGGACCAATTTGCAGAGAAACGGCGGTGCTCCCCACTCACTAGATCGGGAATCTTATGGATCTTAATGTGCGAGCATGTTCTGCCGCTTAACCTCCCGAAACCACACTGATCTTATTCCCTCTGAGGTACATGCATGCAAGAGCCATATAGTCATCCCCCACACACTCCTCTCCTCTCTTCTTCTCCCCTCCTATTCTCCCTTTGCGGCTTCCCTCACTTTTGGCAGGCCATGCGGCGGAGTTCAGCAGTTTTGCAGTCATTTTTCCAGATTTACCCACAGCCGCCACTTTCATGTGCTGGATACTTCAGAAACCCTCCCTCCAGCGCCGCTGTCTCCCACTTTTCCCTCAGTTTCTCTTTTTGCTGTTCCATCTTTACCTCTTTTTGCCACATCTCTCTCTCTCTCCTATATATACTTCTTCTCACACTCTAGCTCTGTTCCAAAGCCTAGTGAGCTGACTCGCTGTCTACTTAGGCAGGTTCCTAGCCATTATGGAATCTCATAAGGGAACGTACTATATACGCAGCACCTCCAAACACCACATAAATAACACTTATCATGGGAAACTTGACTCACAATTTATTTCAGTAGAGTTTTCCATTAGCATATCACTAAGCTTACAGAGTGATTCTCTAATAAGCATTAAAAATCATAGTTTTATTTGTAGATTTTTATTTTAAGATTTAAGATTGCCTTCAGCTCAGAGTTTGGGGTCGGTAGGATTTATTATTATTTTTTTATGTTTTCAGACATTTAAAAATGAAACATTTCGACAAGTCTTTTATGCTCATCTTAGGCTGCATTTATTTAATAAAAAATACAACAAAACAGCAATATTGTGAAATATTATTACAATTTAAAATAAAACTAATTCTGTTTTAATATATTTTAAATGGTAATTTATTTCTGTGATGGCACATGTAATTTGTAACAAAAATATAAATTTATTGAACAAATTTAATTTTAATCAGTTTCTTAATGTTTTTGCTCCATATTTGTGCAGTTTTTGGAGGATTCGTGATATTTTTTAAATGTATATAAATAAATAAAAAGATATATATATTTTTTAATAGATTTTTATACAAAACCAGCTTTTTATGTCAAATTCACTTTACAAAAGACCCACATTCCTCATTTTAATTCATGGGGATAACATGGTCAATGTGCCATAGTTTAATGCCAAATTGTTTCCATCTATTTGAATTTTTTTTAAGTTAAACCATGAACACCAGAAAGCCACCAGATGGTTCTAGAGCTCAATTACTCAATGGCTCATTTGCCATTTCCACAGGTATAGATCTTTTCACAAGTTTTTTATTTAGATTTATGTTAAGAGATTATAAAATTGTTATTGTAATAGTATAAAATGACTCTTTGTCAGAGTTTAGCATTTTTTTGTACTGAAATATAATATTTTGCAATTATGACACATAATTACAGTCAAACCTCTATGTGGTGTTATATGTGTGTATTACATGTACATTTACATTTAGTCATTTAGCAGACGCTTTTATCCAAAGCGACTTACAAATGAGGACAATGGAAGCAATCAAAATCAACAAAAGAGCAATGATATACAAGTGCTATAACAAGTCTCAGTTAGCTTAACGCAGTACACGTAGCAAGGGTTTTTTAAATAATATAATAAATAAAAAGAAAACAGATAGAATAGAAAAAGAATAGAGCAAGCTAGTGTTAGAGGTCTTTTTTGCTTTTGTTAATTGTATAATAAATGAAAAGAAAACCGATAGAATACAAAAAGATTAGAAAGCAAGTGTTAGTTTTTTTTTAAGAAAACAAGCAGCAAATGAATAGAGTGCAAGTCTAAAAGGGACAAGTGTTTTTTTTTAAGAATAGAGTTAGAATAGAGAGTGCTAGAGTTAGAGGGTCAAATAAAGATGGAAGAGATATGTTTTTAGCCGATTCTTGAAGATGGATATTAGTGTGTATATGTGTGTGTATGTGTGTGCTTGCATTTATTCTCCATCGTGGATGTGCTGTGGTGTCCCTCCATCATTTCTGTGTGTGTTCTTCATTGTAGCTCTGTATTTTTGTATCATTGTATTTTTATTTGACAAGTTATGTAAGAGAGAGCCACTCGTGTCATGTCAATTTTTCATTTCTTATGAGTGGATTTTATGGGTTTGGGGGGCTTTGGGGTGTGGGGTGGGGGTTGTGTGTGTTTTTAACTGACATTTTTGACAAATTATGTAACAAAAAATCTATTTCATAGTCTCCCATTGATGTCTATGGGTGATTTTTGGGGGGTGGGGGGTTAAGGTGTGTGTGCGAGCATAATTGTTCTGCATCGTGAACGTGTGGAAGGGTTGCCGCTTCATTTCCGTGTATTTTGTGGTCTGCATTGTGGTGGATGTAGTGATTTTATTTGACAAATTAAAAAGAACAAGGATCAATTTGATCTTTTCCCCATTCATTTCAATGTGGGGTCTCAGAGACCCCAAACATGATGAGAGGGATATTTTTTACACTAACATACAACCAGATATCAATCCAGTTTATTTTTTTTTATTTGTAGATTTACCAAGTGTTGACAGCCATACAAAGTCTCATGCCATTTAGATAAAGGGAACTTTTTTTTTTTTTCTTCAGCAAACGTCATTTGGGTTCAAAAAGACCCCAAACAGTGCATAAGGGTTAAAAAAATGTACTGACCCCAAAATTTTCAACAGTTTGAAACCACACCTGTAGTGCACTTTAAAATGTTCTTGTACAACGGCAGCTTACTAGAATTTGAAACACAGAGCTTCTGTCTTACGTTTGTCTTTTCTTTATCCTCGCCTCCCTCGTTTCAGCTTCAGCTTCGAACGGTTTCAGAAGGCCACTCCTTTTCAGACGGTTGTGGAATATTTCTGAGGTGGTTTGGGTTTGTTTTGGGCTCTGTGTGGTGTGATCTTGGCTCTCTGATCTCTGCTGTTCTTTCGGGCCCATCATCACAGCAGGCCCAGTTCGCCAGTAACATTACATGACCTTCTAAAGTGGGCTGCCTCTCGCCACATCAAGGGCACACCCCAAAAAACTGCTCACCGATACTGTCAGCCCTCATCTGCATCGCCTACATTTTATTGATATCATTTATATTTTACCCAGGATGACTCTATGTGAACCCCTGCTGGATGCCTCAGGCTCACTGAATAGAGGTTGGCACAGAGGAAGATGTGTTTGCAGGAGCTTGGAGAGATGCCCATTCTGTATAATGCTGGTGGATGGAGTTGCATGTGCTCATAAAGCTGAGTGTAGAAAGGCTTCAAAACCACTCACAGCTTTTGAAACAGGAAGAGCAGAGACCTCCGGTCCACTATGGTTTTACTGCCTACTCTTGTATCCACATATATTACCAGATAGGAATGGGTCATTATGGTTGACTGGTTTATTTGGATTTTGGATCTTTTTTGTTCGTTTTTTGGTGTTTTATCTGTAGTTCTTTCAGATAAAAGAAAGTGCTTCAGCTGTTAAACCTGCACAGAAAGCTTGTGTTTTAAAGGGATAGTTCACCCAAAAATTTAAATTCTCTCATTAATTACTCACCAATAGCTTGTAATGAGAAATATTCTCAATAAAAAAAACAACAAACAGGAAATTTCCTTACATTAACTGTACACCCACAAAAAAAACCTAATAAGTAACATTGTGCTCCCATGATTTTGTGGGGACTGTATATTCCGTTTAATATAGACACACATTTTGGAATGTATCCCACCTGTATGTTTAATACTCGGGGGCCAGTTGAAGCAGGTCGACATCTGAAAATTACTGAAAAGACAGTCAACCAGTGTATTGAGACAAAGTGAGCTAATTCCAGTAGCAAAAGCTTGCTTGAATAATGGTGTTTATGGCTTCCAGTAAAACTAAGGAGGTAGTTTCAGGCGTTGGAGATAGACAGATCTTAACCCACACTCTCCATATGGTGTGAATATACAGCCTTTTCATCCCTTTTCCTCTCAGCGTCTTGTGCCTTTGCCATGTTTAGATTATAACTTTAAAGAGAGTTCAAATACTTGTCATATTTATCTGCGCTTCGTTATGGAGCAAAAGGTCTCTCTGGATTTATGTGGTTACAGTAATGAGGGAAGTATACATCAGATGTTTTGTAAACTGAGATTGCCCTATGACATGTTATTCATCATTAAAGGCTGAAGCGATGACTACAGCACTACTCAAGTCAACATTGTTTTTTGTACATGTTTTTTGCGATTTTCACATAATTGCCAACAAGAAACTGTCAGACATTATGAATGCCTTTTTTCTTTGAACAGGGACAAATCTCACACAAATTAGATACTTCAAAACTTATCCAATCAAAATTAAACTAGTAATCTGTTAAGCTAAAGACTTCAGTTTAACTTTAAGAACAGACAACGGACAGATCGAGTCATCAGAGGTTGCTGCAGGACACAGTGATGATACCGCAGCAGACGAGTCTGATAAAAACAGAGGCCTGCGGTGTACGGATACAGCCCAGCGATGGCCGTGATTGGCTGTTGGCTGGACTGCTCTCCTGAGCTGAAGTTTCAGGTTACGATACTTCATTAAGTCTCTGATTAATGGCCTCATATTGGAGTTATTACCCTCTTGTTGTGGTGACCCCAGCTCATGTTCATTAGCCCAGTAATGAAGCGCTGGTCTGGGGAGCGTGTCCCTGACACATGACTATAGGAGAGAGCGAGAAAGAGACTTGGTTCAGAGGTCGGCTTGTGGCTCTGATTGAAATAGCCGTGTATTTAAGCAGCAATGTTCCCCTGTCTCTGTGTTAGTATTCAGGACTGACTGATCATTAATCACAGAACTGAGATAATTTTCCAGCAGTATACTGGCAATCAGACTAATCAAGACTTGAGTGAAACTTTTCAACCTCTTAAAAGATACTAATCAATTTATTAACTGAAATGTTGGCTTTTGTTGTCCAGTGATTGTATTATTGCAGTCGGTTTAGTACCTTGCTCGTATCTGCTTTCCATTTTATTTTCTACAATAACATTGTAGTTAGGGGTGGGAATCATAAGAAATCTAAAACAATTATTGGAAAGGTGACTTAATGACTACTCATTTATTCAGTATTCATTGTCTTTTTTAAATGTGGCATAAGTCCACATCAATCAATGGCTTTAACTGTATTACATAATGCTAAACAAACAAAAATGTGGTGACATTTAATTTATTCTATTGTATTTTATAAAATACCACTGATTATAGAACTCACAAGTTGTAAGCTGTATGTGTTTGAGTCACTAAAAAGAACCAATGATAAGATTCATTTATTTGTGAATCGCTTGGAATACACTGGTTGCACTGTATGGTTTTGATTCACCAAAAAGAACCTGCTCATCAGAATCATTTGTTCGCAAATCGTTTTGGGTGTACGTATGTAAAAGTATGACTTTCATTCAAAGAAAAGGCTCAAAAGAGTCATTTGTTCGTGAATTGAATTCTGAAAACCCTGGTTGCACTCTTTGGTTTTGATTAAAAGTTATTTGCTTGGAAATATGACTGCTCACTTCATGCTGTATGGTTTTCATTCAGAAAAGACTCATGAGAGTCATTCAAGAATCAAACTACATTGATTACAGAATGAATTATATGTTTTGCATTGTAAATTCAGTAGTGGTGTTGCAATAGCTGCAAGAGTATTTGTTTAGAATAATGCAATTGCAACAACCATTAATGAAACACAACATAATTCGATTCCTGTATGTAAATGAATGAAATCATTTCTGAATAAGAACCGGTGTTTGATATTTACGTTGTATTTCTCTGTCAGGCCGCAGTCAATCACACAGTCGGTCATGTATTTCAAAATTTTCCAAATAATCTCCAGTCCAACCATCAAACACTTTTGTCTTAATGCATTTAAACTTTAAACAGTTTGGCTTGCGTGTCCTGAGTGTAAATAAACTCAACTCGCCTTTATTTTTACCCCTCCAACTTAGTTTATTTTGAGTCCTTTTGAAAAACCACCTCGCATATGAGGCTGCTCCCGAACCCTCTTAGAAGCTGTATTTTTTTTAGAGGGGGGAACGAATGAAAGAAAAGAGAAGCGTGTTTTCTTTTTCTCTGGTTTGTTTTCCAGTCACTTTAAAATGAACTCTGGGTGCATGACGAGAAGGCCGCAGATGGTGCGGTATACGATGGGAGACAGTCGTAGTCTTTGCTTTACAGATGGCTGGAGAGCGCTATGAAAACAAGACTTTTACACTTCTGTCCCGACGCTGTCACACCACGGCTAAAAAGACAGTTTTGCAAGTAAAACAAAATATCGCTGTCTCCTTGCTGTCAGTAATTGGTCTCCTGAGATAATTGTAAAAGTGCGTTAGTAAGGGCGCTACAGAGAATTTTGTGTGAAAATATGTAAGCATGTGGGCACGTTTCATGAGACAGGCACTGAAGAGGAACTAAAAACTCGATAAAAGTGAAGACAGAGGGAAAGTTCAAGGCTAAGGCTGTCACAACATAAGGCCGCACTTTTTTTCGCTCTAGTGCACTCTGTTTATGATGCTGTAATATAAAACTGCTGCTCCAAAAATCCCTAACATAGTCCTGATCTCCATTATTCTTTTGTCCTAAAGATTTTGTCTTGTCATCTCTTTTGCAGCCTCCAGTGGTGTCCGTGGGTTTTGCTCGGTTTCATCCTAATCTGTTGGTGGGTGGCACGTACTTGGGGCAGATTGTTCTCTGGGACAACCGAAGTCACAGAAGAACGCCAGTTCAGAGGACCCCCCTGTCTGCTCCAGCACACACAGTAAGAGAACCTACAGATACAATCATCTATCACACTCCATCATGAATTCAGTCTTATTCTGTGGAACACATAAGGAGTTACATCAGAATGCCCAAGCCACTCTTTTACATATAATGAAAGTGAATAGTGATTATGACTGTCAAGCATGATTTTCAGTGAGTAACAACTTAAATCTTAGTCTGTTTTACTACCCAAAGCTCAAAGAGTCTTTTCTTGTGAAAAAGTGTGCTTAATTGTACTGAATGTTCACTTGTAATGTACTTCAAATTTTAAATGTATATTTTTAAAATAAAACTGTACTTGCAGATAATTAATGAAATAAAAGGCCTCTTAAGTGTACTTTCATTAACGTTTCTTAACACACTTTAAGTACACTTTTAAGAAGTGCACTTAATAATGACCAAATTAAAAGTTTACTTTAAAGTACATTTTAATAAATTTTGTCATACACTGACGTGTGGACTAACATACTAAAGCACATGTAAAGTACTTGATTATAATTTTATACAGTTGACATTTTGAATGTAATATTTTAAATTCACTAAATTGCTGCTTCATCATTGCAAATTTCCAATTATAATAAATTTAAATTCATTTAAATGCACATTTTACTGCTTGACAGTATATTGGGCAATGCACTTTTACCATATTTCAAAAATGATAAGAATACATATAAAGATATAGTTAAATCTTACTATAGTAAAATCACTCTTAACTGCAACTAATTGTGTTTAATATAAATTGTAACCTTTTTATATTTTAATTTATTTGCAGCTAATCCATTTAAGAGTCTGAAAACATTACATTCAGTTTACACTTAACTACTGTATATGCCTTTAAAGTATATTATTTACATCATAAGTACTCCTTTTTTTTTTTTTTAAAGAATGCAAATTGTACTACTATATATGATCCTGGACCACAAAACCAGTCATAAGTCGCACAGGTATATTTGTTGCAATAGCCAACAATACATTGTATGGGTCAAAATGATCACATTTTCTTTAATGCCAATAATCATTAGGATATTAAGTAAAGATCATATTCCATGAAGATATTTTGTAAATTTCCTACCGTAAATATATCAAAACTTAATTTCTGATTAGTAATATGCATTGCTAACGACTTCATTTGGACAACTTTAAAAGCAATTTTCTCAATATTTAGATTTTTTTGAACCCTCAGATTCCAGATTTTCAAATAGTTGTATCTCGACCAAATATTGTCTTATCCTAACAAACCATACATCAATGGAAAGCTTATTCAGCTTTCAGATTATTTATAAATCTCAATTTCAAACAATTGACCCTAATGACTGGTTTTGTGGTCCTGGGTCACATATGATAACACTTTTATGGTGCTTTTTTTGTCTATTTTGATTCCCATTTGCTTTTATTGTATGGAAGAGAGCAGCATGAACATTCTTAAAAACATATTTTGTGTTTCACAGAACATAGAAAATGTGAATTATCCTTTTAACCGGACACTCACATTATGACATGATGCTGGTAGCAATCACCCCTTAACGTTTTCCTGACCTCGTCTACTCTCTGTGCAAAAGGCCTGTATCACCGTCTACCCAGGGCTAGTCTCAGTCTGTCAGCACAGTCAGGCTCAATGAGCCCCATCTAACTCCTTGTCATGCAATAAAGACAGTACAGCCTAGTAGCAGAGGAAAGGGATGTCCATAGACCCTTATTGTGCTCAGCTGCCACACACACGGCCCCTGAATGCCATACATGCTGAAGGTTTAAACTCTTGTGCCCTCAATAATGAAAGCCTATGTCCCGACCGCCATCTCACCACTCCGCCGGCCCGTCTGAAAGAGCCCATTGTTGGTCAAAAAACAAAAATCTAATTGACGGCAATAATGGATTCACAAAATCGACTGTATTTGCAGAAGGGCAGATGCTCAGGCCAGGTTAGTTCACAAGCTAGGTATTGTCTGAGTAGACATTCTGTTCATAACTTATCCCTAGATGTTTGCTGGCCATGTATAACACTTTCTTGAATTTCTCACATTTGTCATACAGTTGTATGTGACATACTGTAAATGTATTTTTCTCAAAGCACCCTGTCTACTGGGTCAATGTGGTTGGCACTCAGAACGCCAGCAACCTGATCACTGCGTCCACAGACGGCCGGATGTGCTCCTGGAGCCTGGATATGCTGTCACAGCCTCAGGTCAGTGCTGATGCTATACCAGCATCCACCACACCTGTATCAAAATCTGCTTGCTCAATCCATGTGTGTCTGTTGTAGAGCATGGAGCTTGTTTATAACAAGTCTAAGCTAGTGGCTGTGACTGGGATGGCCTTCCCCACTAGAGACGGCAATAATTATATAGTTGGCAGTGAGGAGGGAACAGTGTATACAGCATCCAGACACGGCAGGTTAGTGGCACATACACGCATACACTTGACACACCGTCCATCTAATCAGAAGAGTTCAGAGACAAATCAAATATAACTGGGGTCCAAACCATTCAGAGGTAGTCAGAAACACATGTGCCACATTTTTTTAAATCTCATTTGTAGTGATGTCCATACTGGACTGCCTACTCACCTGACAATCAAAACAAGGATTTTAAACTTTGTTGTTGGCTTTCTGATCAGAACATTTGGAAAAGCATTTGCCATCCTAAGGTTTGGGGTCGGTAATATTTTTAATGTTTATGAAAGATCCTTCAGAGATCATGTTAATATGCGGAATTGTTGCACTAGAAACATTTCTTAGAATTATCAGAAATGTTTATCATTATATTATTATGTAATATAATGCACAGAAAAATATAAATATATTATATATAAATATAAATATATTGGAATTTTTAAATCACCATCTTTATTCATTAGCCTACCTTAAGCGTTTTCTATGGGGGAGAAAAAGCTTAATGTGCAGGGTGTTACGTTCATATTCTGGGCTATTCTGCTTTATTAATAGTAATATTATTAATAAGGTTATTAAAATATTAGCCTAATAATTTTATCAGTATTTATTATTATCAAATTTGGTCCTCCAATGTCATTGTTTTAAAACATTAAGCCACATTACCTTGCCTTGAACTAAGTACTTACTTACTGTATTTCTTTATACTTCAGTCCAAGTTCAAAATAAAACTCTGAATCGCTCCATTGTGAACATACAGAGCTGTATGAACCACTGCAAGCTGTAAAGTAAACAGGAAGAGTTTGTCCGAACTCAACTGGTTTTGCGAGAGAACGCAAAAGTTTTACGAGGGAATGCAAACATCTTTTTACGAGAGAACACAAGTTCTACGACGGAATGCAAACATCTTTACGAGAGAATGCAAAAGTTTTGCAAAGGAGCACACATATCTTTGCAAGAAACACAAAAGTTTTGCGAGGGAATGCAAAGTTTCACGAGGGAACGCAAAAGTTTTGCGAGAGAACGCAAAACATTTCAAAAATATTTTTTCCTCCCACTCCGAATTTTTTCCACCACCATGACCCTTTAAGAGCTCAGTATGAGTGTTTAGAATATTCGGAATATGTGGAATATTTTTTTTCAGTGCAAAAAATCTTTGCCTTGTTTTCCAGAAACAAATATAATGTTTTTTTTTTGTTGCTTTTTTTATGTTTATAAAACCCTAATATGTCATGTACAAACCAATCTAATTCAAAATGCACACACAGTTTCCAACATTAATGTAGGCACGTCTTTTCTAAAGAGCATTTTAAGCTCTGCTTTGTTAATGAAGACAGTATCTTGGCATTGTTTTTGTACATGCAAGTAAATCCATTCTGTGTCCAAAGCTTTGAGACCACTGGACAGTGGCTTTTTGCCTTGGAGCTTAATCTGCAAGTTCAGAATGAATGATTGAGTCTCTTGATTGGGGTTCAAACCACATGGACCAAAGAGACTGAGCAAGAGCGGGTTAGGGTGGGAGACGTATGGACATGGTTGTGCTCACAGATATACTGCAATCTGTGTCTGGAGATACTGGCTCAGATCACATTAACCACAGAGTTAGAGAAGCATGAAGGCCAAGTATGAATAAAAGATGGACGTCGAAAGAATGTTAGGGGAGGAGAGAGAGGCATGAATAATAAAAAAAGCGATGGAAAAGTGGGATAGCTTGAAGAAGAGACATCAATGACACAACAGAAACAGAAAACAGAAAACATAAGAAGTAGTTAAAGGGATAGTTCAACTAAAAATGAAAAGGCTGCCTTCATTTTCTCACCCTCATGTTCTTCCAAACTGGTATGAATTTCATTTTTATGTGGAACACAATATGGGAAATTTTAAAGAATGTGCTGGTCGCTCTTTTCCATACAGGTTTTTGAGCTTAAAAAATTCAAAATATCTTGTTTGTTATATATTTCAAGTCTTTTGAGGTCATATTATAGTTGTATATATCATTTTTACAAGTGATTTATTAATTTGTAATATCAGTAATTTACAGGTTTGAGTAAATGATAGAATTTGCAATAACACAAAACGTTATTTGTGGTCAGTAAGATTTTATTTTTAAGGAAAACGGTTTTATTCAGCAAGGATACAATAAATTGATCAAAAGTGATGGTAAAGACATTTATAATGTTAAAAAATATATCAGTTTTACAAATAAATGCTGTTTTTAAACTTTCTATTCATCAAAAAGAATCCTGAAAAATATATCATGATAAAAAAATGAAGCAGCACAACTGTTGCCAACATTTCTGAAGGATCATGTGACATTGAAGACTGGAGTAATGATGCAAAAAATTCAGCTTTGCATCACATGAATAAATTAAATTTCCAATATATTAAAATACAAATCAGTTGTTTTAAATTGCAATATTTAACAATATTACTGGGTTTTATTACTATATTTTTCATCAAATTAAATGCCACATTTTTGAGCAGTAGTGTACATTTTTATGAGAACTGTCCCTTTAAAATGAGTTAACAAAGAGTTCAAAAGCAGAAGAGAGCCAAATAATCTGCAGTAGATGGTGGACACGGGTCATTTAACAAGGAAGTGGCACATCTACTGCCTCAGGCCCTGCGATGAATAATACAGCTGAGCTGCATTAATGAAAGCTAGAGTATATGTATCATGTTCTCACACTCATCGCTATCTGCGCAAACCTACGTAAAGTCCTGAGCTTCCCGAAACCACAACATACCGTCCTGTCACTTTAAGTTGGACTTTCTGTACAAATCTTAGACTTTGTGCATTCTGACAGATATTAAAACATTCCTGGGATGTTATGGATGTGCATGTGTTATTTTTTGGGGACGGGGGAATTCCTTCCCTTTGAGGAGAGCCGCAGGAATGCAGGCCTGTCTCTTTCTCCTGCGTGTGGTTGTAGGCACACCTTAGCTTGGAACATAGCACGCTGTGAGCCTCCACACATTATCAGTCACAGGCAATAATATGAATTTCAAATGACACCTGGTTTGCTATTTTTAGACATTGATGAGTTAGTTTAGCCATTTTATGTTATAAAAATGTTTATTAGGTACAGAGCTGCCTTCATTTTTCTTTTTGTTGTATAACAAAGGCAGTGCTGACAGATAATTCAGTTCCCTTTATTGGTGTCCTATAAAACACAAAAGGAAAAAATGGTGTATGTTTCCCATCAATGCCTGGTCCCTGCTCGGAAAACTCTCCTTGTGCCCTAATTTGCCTTTTTAAGTGCCTGTGGCAAGTCCTTGATGGCTTTTCTATCTGCATCGCAGTCCACGTCTGGGTCTGTGATGGTGGTGACATGTATAAGCACAGTTTACTGTAGGTACATTAACAAGTACATGAGTTACTGGAGACTGAATATATATTAAATCCCATCACTAGACTTCTGTGGAGGAATCAGAGAGGTTATGGAATTAATTCGAGGTCTGCTGAGGAGTATGCACATCACGCTCTGTTAGAGGGGAAAAAATGGCCTGCAAACTGATCTGTAGTCCTCAGGGAGGGCAGAATCAGTGCTGGCGCCTTCAGGATTTGGATTTATTGCTCTGGATCCTGTGGATCAGATCAACTGATGAGCATAGTTAAAGTTCTAATTGGACCTGTACTGGTTTGATCATAATATAACAAAATAACACAATTACCATGTTGGCACATACAGTAACATGCTGAATGTGAAACATAAACCACTATTCATTTCATACTGGTGGATTGTTCATGGATCTTTCTCTCACATATTACCATTATATACTTGGTTCAAAGATGAACATTTTGACCATGATTTACAGAAGACCCACTAAAATGCCATTCAGTTTAACAATAGTTCATGTACCAAAAAATTGTCAGGCATGTTTAGAATCAGAATCATTAGATGACATTAAAAGACTCTATTTAAGGATCACAGTGCAGCTCCCAAAAACCAATGCATTGTCATTTTAAATCTTTACCAATCTTTGCCACTATCCTTCAAACTAGGTTTTACACATTTATCAGTTTTTAATCATTTAAATTATAATTAAATGTATTATGTTCACTTATTCTTTTATATATTTTAATAAGTACAGGTCAGAATAAGTAGGTAGTTACATTTTTACATAGATGTATCTGTATGACAGTGGAACATTATATTTTGATATTTTATTTTCATAGAAGTTATTTGAAACATTAAAGCAGATCCATTTTGGTGTCTGCAGTGATTTTATATACATAGAAAGCATATTAAATGCAAGTAAAGTGTGTGCTTTAAGACACTTTACTTGCATTTAATATGCTTTATATGTATATAAATCACTTTTGTAAATGTAAATTCATGTGGACACCAAAATGGGATAGTCTCTTTGAATTCTCACTACTGATCAAAAGTGTGGAGTCAGTAAGATTTGTTTTTTTTTAATGAAAGAAGTCTCTTATGCTTCTCTTATGCCTCATAATACAGTAAAAAAAAGTAATATTGTGAATTATTATTACAATTTATACAACAGTTCGTTCTGGTTCTCAAATCTGATTGGTTGAGAACCGTGAGCTATTGTACTGGTATCGCTACAGGAATGCCCTTTCACAATTTTGTATCTCTCCGCTTGTTCTAGCCGGGTCTATGTTTTTTTTTTAATTATTCACTGAGCTAATCGTAGAGTATGTTAGTTAATATAAGAAGAAACGTCTAGCTTCGCAGTCTCTCTCTCTCTCATTTGGATGCACGTCTTGCCGCATTGTTTCTCTCTTATAACCTCATTATTTCTCACTAATAACCTAACTGAAGCAGCACATGCCCTTGATACGAATTCTAAAAGCGACGTACGTTTGTTTAACTGCCAACTTGAGCTTTGAATCCATGGCGGAAGGAAGTAGTTCCGCACAAAAGAGGGTTTTATTAGGCACTCCGTTATTTCTTGTTTAATTACACACATGTTCTGTCGAACTGTTGTATAAACGCAATATCACTCATACTCGAGCGATACCGGCTCTATATCAGCAGCTGTGATTGCCTCGTGCCTCTGGCCTAATCACAGCCATGCTGATATAGAGCCATTATCGCTCTCGTACTCGAGTGATATTGCTCATTTAAAATAGCTGTTTTCTATTTTAATATATTTTCAAATGCATTTTCTTAATGGCAAAACTAAATTTTCAGCAGCCATTACTCCAGTCCTCAGTGTCACATGATCTTTCAGAAATCATTATTTGGTGCTCAAAAAAAACTTCTTAATGGTATTATTTTCAATGTTGAAAACAGTAGCCTACTATTTTTTTGTGGAAACTTTTCCATGACTGATGAATAAAAAGTTCAAAAGCATTTATTTAAAAGCTAAATCTTTTGTAACAAATGTCTTTACTCTGACTTTTGATCATTAATGCATACTTGAATAAAAGTATTACTTTCTTTCAAAAACATTTTTACTGATTTCAAAATTGAATGGTAGTATATATTTAAATGGTTTGTTATTTATTCATTCATTGTTTGTTTAATGTTCTAGGCTATCTTTTTGTTTTTGTATGCTTGGACCATCTCAGATTGTGTTACAATAAGTAATACAATAATAAAAAGTGAAGTGATTTTAAGATGAAGGCTGCACCCTGCATGGTGTGTTTTGTTGTGGTGGAGTGTGTCTCAGTGTGGTTCATTAGCGTGCTGTGGTCTGCATTGCTCTCCGCCCAGCTGTCTCCCTCTGTACCTGTGTGGAATGCATCCAGCAATCCTCAGTATCTCTCTCTCTCTCTCTCCCCCCTTTTCTTCTATGCCACAGACAGCTGTTACACTTAGGTTACAGTACACCTTGGAGAGACTTTCATCTAGCGTTTTTTTATGACACTGCTTGAATGTGCAAAGGTTTTAATTAGCTCAATCCCAGACAGGCCCCAGGGCTGCAGCAGCGCCACTCTGTCTACTGCCTATGCCACTCTCTCATTCCGCCTCTCCCTCCATCTTCACCCACTCTCTCGCCCTCCGCTTGTCCCCTTACAACCCCAGCACCTACTTGCTTGTCCTGTTTGCCCTTTCATTCTACCTTTCTCATGATATTTCACCTCTGTTTTCTCATGTTGTGTCCCCCTCAGCAAAACAAGCCGCTGTACTCCTTTGAGGATAACGCAGACTACGTCTACAACGTGATGTGGTCCCCCGTGCACCCCTCACTCTTCGCCGCCGTGGACGGCTTGGGTCGTCTGGATCTGTGGAACTTGACCAACGACACTGAGGTGAGGTAAAGCTTTCGGTCTGGTCCCCCAGATCACACCAGACCAAAGATGCATCAAAACAACAACAAGTTCTTTTCTGTGTGGACGTCTCCCCACAGGCCGCCCTTAAATCAGCTTTCTGACAGCTCCTCACCAACAGCTCCCACAACACTCCAGCGACGTTCCTTTCCACACACACGCATAGTCTGCAAGCTTACGGCTAATTACTCCGATGTGTGCAGATTCCTCTCTCTCCACCATTCCAGAGTCATTGAGTTCCCATGGGCTACAGCCCAGCAAAGCGGTTTAACCTGCTCTTCCAAGGCCACTGACTCTCAAGACCTTCAGGGACAATCACAGCTTTACTTATTGTATGGGACTGAGATATACTGCAAAATATATTTTAAATATTTTCCTAAACATAAACAAGGCAATAAAAAAAATAGGCTTGTTTTCTATGCATATATATATGTATAATTTTATATATATATTTTTTTTAATTATTATATTTAAATAATTGTATAACATTTTTATTCGTTTATTTTTCACTTCACTGGAATATCTTGTTTTAAACATTAAGCTCAATTATTTTGATTGTAAATTTAAAAAACTATGTAAATATATGAAAATAAAATTATATTAATATAATAATCAACTATTTAAAAATCAAGATATATCCTCTGAAAACAAAAGAATTTTCCATTACTCAGCTGGATTTTTTTTTCTTATAGTTTAATCATTAAATATTGTTAGCTTTGTAATTTAATATAGTTCTTTTGATTATAGAAAGTAAAATACTTCAATAAACACCATATCAATTTATGAAAATAAAATTATATTAAAATACATCATAATAAACAAATATTCAAAATATATTCTTAAAAATGTAAATAATTAAAATCATATTCCATTACTCCACTGGAATGTTTTTTATCTTGTTTTTAACATTAACCTCAATTTGTAATGTAAGATACACATTTTGATTATAAAAATAAAGTAATTCAGTAAAAACGATATAAATATGAAAATTAAATTATGCTAAAAATATATACAACAATTTTTCTCATTATGAATAGAATTATTTTTTATAGAATTTTTTTTATATAATTATTAAAAATGATAAGTACAAAACAATTTAATATAAACCTCTCTGAAAATGAGTCTTAATGTCTGAAGCAGTTTGCTCAGTGATGTTTTTAAGAATGTTTAGATATATTTTTCTGAAAACAAGGCCTGATTCAATACTGATTCAGCAGATTTTTGCAGTGTTGGCTTGCAGACTTTGTAGAACAGTGCGGTCATATTAACTGTCATATACTGGATCCAACAGGCATTTGTCACTGATAATGAAGTGTCATCGTGCATCACATGCTATGATGTTGCTTCATGTGACAGTTGACTTAGTGCTACATGGAGCATTCACACAATACGTCAGTCTATAATGGTGTACATGTCTCAGAACTGCGGCCCCTGAGGCCACAGCGCAGAGTCCAGCGAGAGCGTTTGGGTGTTACGTCTCTCCTGTGTGAGATGAGATCTGCTCTGACTGACACTGCCTGTCCACTAAGGAATACACACCCACTTTAATTACATGCTGCTCTGAGATCTGCTGTTCTCCACTCACCCATCTCTCTCTAAACATACGCTGTGGGTTTGCTGGAAGGTAACCAATAAACAGCTCACTGATTGTAAATCATATATACTAAAGTCAAATTGAAATCATAACTGACCTTGATTACCTTCTTAACATACATTTCTGGTCGGACTGAATGATTCTTAGAAAATAATGTTAATGTAATTTCATCTTTCATTTAAAAAAAAAAGTCTGCTTAGATAAAAACCAATCCCATCCTATTTATTTTATTATTAATTATCTTAAATATTCTGTTTAACTCAAGAAAAATGGTAACAAATAAATAAATCATGTTGTTTTAAAGGCTTTGCCAAATGGGGACAGAATGTGAGCTGAATTTAAACCCACAACTGCCATTTGAGCACTGTGTGCTTTTATGCTAACCACTAGGCCACAGTATATAGATTAATTTAATAATTAATAAATTTTTACAAATACAAATAAAAACAAAAACAAATCAGTTTCAGTTATTAGCATTCAATGCTACTAGTAAATTTAGGCATCAGAATATTATAATGTTCAGTATGAAATATTGATATTTCTTTTGAGATTTGCTAAAGATTCCATTTAACACTTTTGATAAATTATTTGTGATTTTTAAAGATTACCTTTAGGTGAGTTTGACATTATGAAAATGCACAACAAATATCTAATTTTAACATATATATACTCTAATGTTAACTCATAATTGATATGGGACCAATATATTTGTGTAACAGTATTTTATTCAAATATTTAATTTAAAAAAAAAATAATAATATATATATATATATATATATATATACACACAGTGGGTACGGAAAGTATTCAGGTAACCTTGGCCAGACCCGTGCCTTGCCACAATTCTGTCTCTGAGCTCTTCAGGCAGTTCCTTTGACCTCATGATTCTCATTTGCTCTGACATGCACTGTGAGCTGTAAGGTCTTATATAGACAGGTGTGTGGCTTTCCTAATCAAGTCCAATCAGTATAATCAAACACAGCTGGACTCAAATGAAGGTGTAGAACCATCAAGGATGATCAGAAGAAATGGACAGCACCCGAGTTAAATATATGAGTGTCACAGCAAAGGGTCTGAATACTTAGGACCATGTGATATTTCAGTTTTTCTTTTTTAATAAATCTGCAAAAATGTCAACAATTCTGTGTTTTTCTGTCAATATGGGGTGCTGTGTGTACATTAATGAGGAAAAAAAATTAACTTAAATGATTTTAGCAAATGGCTGCAATATAACAAAGTGAAAATTTTAAGGGGGTCTGAATACTTTCCGTACCCACTGTATATATATATAAGAATTTTTAACCTGCAACCCTACATTTAACTTATGGTAAAAGGTCCCCTGATTTATTTTATTTTATTTAAATTTTTTTTCCACTGTGGCACAACCAAAGAAAAAAGAAAAAAAAAAAAAAACACATGCCAATGATTCTATTAGCGTTGAATCAACCCTACATTTAACTTATGGTAAAAGGTCCCCTGATTTATTTTATTTTATTTAAATTTTTTTTCCACTGTGGCACAACCAAAGAAAAAAGAAAAAAAAAAAAAAACACATGCCAATGATTCTATTAGTGTTGAAAGTATGACTTTCATGTATAGCAGTAAATTTGGCCTTTAGTGTTATATCAGTCATCTTTGACCCTGACCTATGTTACTTCTTTTCAGCTCGTTCAGTCAGTTGAGAGCAGATAATGAGTGTGTGTGTGTGTGTGTGTGTGTGTGTGTGTGTTGCCTCAAGAACAATGCACGTTATCCAAAACATCAGGAGCCGGCAGTGCCACAGCAGCATGCATGCTGACGCATACACCGACACATGCATAAACAGGCAAAGATCTTGTGCCAGAAAGCAGCCAACAGTTCTCCATTGTCAACTTATAAAGAAATTCACCCATAACACCATTAACAGACTGCGGGCTCGCCTGGTTCCAATTTACACAAAGAGAAGCTTGCAGCCAATTTAACCTTGCAGTTGACTCTTGGAGGAAGCTGCTGGCTAATAGCTCTCAGGCTGTGGTTAGCCTGTTCTGAAGCGAGGAAGCTTTTGTATTAGCCAACGTACAGCTTCCATCTTTGCTGACAACATATGTCAGGCCAGTCTTAACTGTCATAAGTAATAGGCAGAAATCAACCTCACACACGCGCACAAACAGAGCCTGTGTATCGCTTTAATGTGTGCATAGCAACTTTTCATGATGATTTATGAAATCATTAAAAGCGCTCAGTTATTTCCAGTAGAGCTGTGGATTCATGTCTTCTTCCTATTAGAGCTCAGCTTTGACTAGACATTCTAACGACATAATTTTATCACAAGGGCTCTGTATGTTTACATTATATGACTTATCGGCTGATATCCAAAAACTGAAGACATGTTCCCTTTCATGGGAACTTTGAACTGCGTCCTCTAGGGGTTGCTATGGGGAACGCCTCGTCGTGACCCGTGTCTGAAGCATACATTGAAAAAACACCAACTCGTTGGCCGGTGACAGCCATGACGTCACTACCGGTGCGACTATAGTATAAATAGGCGCCGGGAGCACACATCATTCTCTTCTTCGTCTTCATTGACGGTTTTGTTTGAAGCATGCATTTCTGTGGTAAGAGCGATCTATTCATCTCATTATGGCGAGCACTAGCAAAGCGTTTAAGGATGTGTGCATCAGTGTTGACGTTGTTTGACATCTGATGACACACACGATCTATGCGTTATTTGTTTGGGCGAAGAGCACGCACGCGATGCCTCCGAGGGGGCATCGCGTGCACTGCGAGCGTTTTTTCCAAGGGAAAAGCTCCACTCTCGTTTGTCTCTTTTTTCAAGGAAAGAGGGGCAGCCATGACGGAATACTGCATGAAATCATCAGGGTCACAAAAGCTGAAATCTCAGAGGCACACGGAGTAAGGGGTACCTGCCAGTATCCCTTTAAAAGATCTAATTTTGTTACAAACTTTGCAGGACCAACTCGATCAATGCAATCTGATTCTGGAAAAGAATCAGGTTTAGTTACTGCATTGACTTTACGATAGTCTGTGCAAAAACGAACTGACGAATCAGATTTGGGGACTAACAAGCAAGGTGAACTCCACGCACTCTGACTGGGACTCGCAAAGTTATTTTGGTGTAAATACTCGACCTCTGCTTTCATCAACTCACGTTTCTTAGGATTAAGCCGATACGGATGCTGCTTTATGGGCTGCACATCACCAACATCAATATCATGTTGAAGTACTGTAGTCTGTGACGGAATATCACAAAAGAGTGAACAGGAATCTTCAATTAACGCAACAATATCTTCTTTGATTCAGAGTTAAATGACTTAAACATCTAAATCATTCAATATTATAGAGTTCGACAATCAACCAGAAGGCACAGAGAACTCCTGTTCAGCATCAT